TTCCAACAATTCGGCTTCACCATCAACTTACCGAAGAGTCACCTCACGCCCACCAATCGCATTCTTCATCTGGGGGCGATCACAGATTCCAGCAAAGGCCAGGTGTTTCTTTCACCAGACCGGATCTGCAGCCTCAGGAGTCTGGTGTCTCAGGTGAGATCACACAGGGCGGTGTCCCCCCTGCTGCTGTCCCAACTTCTAGGAAAGATGGTGTCGTGCATAGCTATCGTTCCTTGGGCACGCAGACACTCCCGTCAGTTGCAGTGGTTTCTGCTACGGTTCCAGAAGTCGGGGAGAGGCACGTCCAAGACACCTGTGTTTCTCCCAGCTCAAGTTCAGATATCACTCCTATGGTGGCTTTCGCCGGCGCTGTTGAAGGGGTGCACCTTTCTGGAACCAGATCGGCTCGTTGTGACATCAGGCGCGAGTTTGCAAGGGTGGGGTGATCACCTGCTGAACGAAGTTGTGCAAGGTCTTTGGTCTCCAGAAGAGAAGAGGCACAACATCAATTGGTTGGAGCTGCGAGCGGTGCGTCTGGCCCTTCGGCGGTTTCGTCCTCTCTTAGAAGGTCAACACGTCTTGCTCCTCATGGACAACATGACAACGAAGGCCCATGTGAATCGAGAAGGGGGAACTCGATCCAAACCCTTGATGTTAGAGGCGGAGAAACTGTTGTCTTGGGCAGAGCACCACACGAAGTCGATTCGTGCAGATCATATTTCTGGAGAAGCCAACGTTCGGGCAGACTGGCTCAGCAGAGAACATCTCGATCCGGCGGAGTGGCGCCTTCATCCGGAGACATTTCAGGACATAATCCAGAGGTTTGGGACACCCCTGGTGGATCTCTTCACCACGCCTCAAAACACACAGCTCCCCAGGTTCTTCTCCCGGTTTCCCTGCAGGGGAGCAGAAGGACACGATGCTCTTCATTGTCGGTGGCCCCCGGGCCTGCTTTACGCATTCCCTCCGCTGCCATTGATCCCGAAAGTCATCAGGAAGGTCCTGAGAGAACGGGCCGAACTCCTTCTCTTCGCCCCTTGCTGGCCGCGCAGAGCATGGTACGCAGACTTGGTGACTCTTTCCACAGCTCCCCATTGGACTCTTCCTCCGCACAAGGTGTCACTCTCCCAGGGAGTCATCGCCCACCCAGACCCTCAGTGGCTCCGGTTAACCGTGTGGCGCTTGAGTGGATGCTCCTAAAGAAGGATGGCCTTCCAGATGCTGTGATCCACACCATTCAATCGTCCAGGCGGCCGTCGACGATTCGTATTTATGAGGCCTCTTGGAAAGCCTTCACTGTCTGGTGTTCTAAGCGTCATGTTGATCCCACATCGGCCGATGTGCTGGAGGTCTTGCAATTTCTTCAAGCTGGTCTGGACAAGGGGTTGGCTCCGGCAACACTGTGGAGACAGGTCACTGCTCTGGCCACAGTCCTTTCTCGTGACCCTCGTCGGCCTTTGTCTCACGATCCCAGGATTCGAGGTTTTCTTCGGGGAGCGAAGGCTGCTGTTCACTTGCAGTGGGGCTGCTTTGGAGGCTGAGGGGCACCTTGTGGTTTTCTAGGACACCTCTTCATCTCGCCGCCTATTGTACATCGTTATCCTTCCTGGGACCTACCTTTAGTACTTCACGCTCTCACATCCGATCCGTTTGAACCTTTGGCTTCCATCAGTTTAAAGTTCCTGTCATTTAAGTTGGCTTTCTTGCTAGCTATTACGTCTGCACGGAGGATTTCCGAGATTGCAGCGTTATCTGCCCGCAAGGACCTTTGCATCTTCCATGCGGACAGAGTGGTATTGAGATTAGACCCTTCATTTGTTCCAAAGGTGAACTCATGGTTTCATCGAGCCCAGGAGTTGGTCTTGCCTGATTTCTGCCCAGACCCTCACCATCCTCATGAGAAGCGTTGGCATACGTTGGATGTACGCAGGGCTCTGCGAAGATACCTTAAACGGATGGCTTCCTTTCGGCAGACTGAGGCCCTCTTGGTGTCCTTCCATCCTGCTTCTATGGGACGTAAGGTGTCTTCTTCAACTGTGGGTCATTGGATCAAGGCGTGTATTTCGATGGCGTATGAACGCCAGGCCAGACCGGCTTCAGGCAGGATTTTTGCTCATTCTACTCGCAGTGCGGCGACAACGGCTGCGTGGGCTACTCAGGCTTCCATCACTGACATCTGTCGTGCTGCTACTTGGTCTTCAGCTTCGCAGTTCATCCGTCATTACAAAATTGATTCTTTTGCCTCAGCTGAGGCTTCATTTGGCAGTGCTTCAACAAGTCCATTCTGCCGGGGTGGCCGAGAGCAGTCAGCCTATACCCTATAGTTGAGCTTGGATATATCCCAGCCATGGAATGTAGGAAGCAGCGCACTGGAAAATGGACGTTGGCTTACTTGAACGTCCTTTTTCAGGGCTCTGCGACTACATTCCATTCCCGCCCTTGTTCCGGCTTCCTGCTCTGGCCGGCTTGTTGTTGTTGGCGGTGTTTGTGTTCTTTGTTTGTTTCCTTTTCTTATAGATTCCTGGTTTCCAGCTCCTTCGTGAAAAGACTGAAGTAATCAGCATAAAAGGGGGCAGAGACCAGAGTTAAAGATTTGAATAATTAACACCCAGTGGTCAGCTACGTATAAGTGAAAATCCCAGCCATGGAATGTAGTCGCAGTGCCCTGAAAAAGGACGTTCAAGTAAGCCAACGTCCATTCCATATATCTCTTCCTTTTGTCCCTTCATTGTTGGAAGGACTTCAGAGGAAAACTGGTATAGTCCATAATATGAACGATGAGTGTCAGATCTCCCATTTAAATCTCACCTGGGTGATAAACCCATCAGATGGCCTTGAGCAGCCTCAACCTTCTGTTTTCTCCTTACGTTGCATTCACTGGTGTACGAATTTTGGGAAATTATAGACCTCTGAGATAAAATGTGTTAATTTTACATATTTTGATTAGATGAATTAGAAAACGGGTGATAAAGGTGCTGGTTGGCTAAAGTTTTCAAGATATTTCACGAGATTTATACACAGGGAAGTATATTTGGCTACAAGGGAGGGAGGTGTCTAATGATCATGATGCCTCGTAACTTCTTGACAGTGAAAATGGTACCACATGGAAGTGTATAAATTTATCTTCACTTTGAGAACAGCAAGGCAGATGACTATGAAAAACATATGGAAAATTTGCTTAGGTCCTACAAAGCACTTAGTGCAAACATGTCACTGAAAAGTCACTTCTTAAACTCACATTTAGACTATTTCCCTTTGAACTGTGGGGCAGTGAGTGATGAGCATGGGGAGAGATTCCACCAGGATGTTGCAGGCATGGAGATAAAGATACCAAGGGAAATGGAGTCTGTCCATGCTTGCCAATTACTGCTGGAATCTCCCCAGGGATGATTCTACTGCACTTCACAAGAGAAAAGCCAAAAAGTGCAGATTAGATACCAAATAAAGATGGAACTTTGTCGTTTAATCTGATGTTAGAGCTTGTCAGTTTTTCATGCAAAAAACATGAAAATGTTACATGAAAAACCAATAAATGAATGGAAAGTTACGTTATTGATATCAATAAAAAGATAACTTTATAATGATTCTCCATTCTCATTGCTATATCACATTTTGCAGAAAAGGTAGGAGCATAATCACACATCCCCCTCATAATTTTGTATTATTTTGATGCAATTTTGACCTTGGAAACTGAAGCCAATTAATACTCAGGACTTAATTTTCCTTTATTAGTGACCCAGTTCTGGTAAAATTAAGCTATTTTCCTTTCTGAGGCTTTCTCCTTGTAGACCAGTGTTATCTATGGTACACAGCTTTGGAAAGGAGCAAGCACAGGTGAAGTGCCTTACTTCTTGAAATGAACAATTCAGTATACTATAATAGCCTGCCTATTGATCTCTTTGCTTTCATTTGGATTAGAGAAGAAAGTAGCCCTAAACTGCTAAAATAAGTTTGCTGTTGGCTGACTGCATTTCTTTGAAAATGCAACCGCTCCCTTAAAATATATCTATCTATCTATCTATTATTATATATATATAATGATCTCCTTTTTCAAAGCAATTTGTTCTCTAGCTTCCATGCTACTTTGAAATGCTATCCTTTATTATATTTTTATTATTATTTTAGATTAGTGGTTCTGTAGCATTATTAAGATACTAAAATATTTCCATTACTCTAACTCATTTTTTCTAACTGATGAGGTACAATTACACGTTTTCCTCTTTGGCTTTGAAACCTTCTGAATAATTTAACAAATTGCAGACTTTGACTTATTTGCTATTTATCTGACAATTACAGTTCTGAATCAATAATCATCAGAAACTTTTGGACCTCTGTGAGTGCTTTTCAGACTGGAGGGTAATAAAGAATCCTGAGCTGAATATCTGTCTTTTTCTAGAGAGCAAAAAGTTAAAAAGCACTTTAATAAACTAGTTGAATGCCAGGGCAGCGCTTCATTCTTCTTAACGAATACTGATTTCCTTATTAATGTTTCTTCACTTAATACACAGTGGCTGAAGCTGCTGTTCATAAATCAAGCCAACTGGTTGACTGATCATTCTAATGTTTATTTGCCTTTATTTCTCTAATTATTTTTTAATGTAGTAACATGACCTGTTGCAACTGGTGTACATAGCATCATCCTGTCCCTTTTGTGATTTTAAAGTAGGCATTCTAGTCTTCTGTTCTGCAGCTAATACTTTCGTCTTTGATTTTGTTGACATAAAACTCTGTAACTGAAAGTCTGTTTTATAAACACTGTTTACATCTAAAACCTGCAGCTTTCTCAACTTCCTGATGTCCAACCCTTTGTGCCAGCTCCTGTGGTTTTATCTTCATATTTAAAAGGGAATAATATTATCTTTTTTATAATATTGTGTTTCCCCTCTTCTTTCCTTTCTTTTTTTTCCACACTTCTTTTTAAACTAATTTACTTGCACCATGCTAATGGGCCTTTATTGCTTTATTATGGCTCCTCCCACTGAATGATTGTGTCCAATCAGTTGGCAGGCAGAGCTCCGCCCCTGCTTCGGCCGCCATGAGTGCTGCCGGCCTGGCTGAGCAAGGTATGTGGCATGAGTCGTATCTCCTGAGTGCCTGATCTTAGAACCACACACTTGCCCACCCTCCTTCAATTCCACTGCCAGTAAAAACCAGCATGATAGTATTTGTGCACCTAGTGAGACACACCATCCATGCTTGCTGGCTGAGAAAAGGGCATGCACTAAGGTATCCATCTAACCAAGAATCATAAGTACATTGAGTTTGAACCTACTAACAAAATGCATGTTGGGTAGTTAACCCTGTTTTGCTGTGAATTGACATAAGACATTTGGAGACAGGGATTGTCAGTACATTTTTCAAATAGTTTCAGAAAGTTGATATGGCTCCTACAACCACGAATGTCTTAGGAGGATATCAACCCGTTAGCAAATTCTGAATTTTGTTTTTAAATAACACCTACCATTTTATAGGAGGATAGCATAAGATTAGCTGCTATTTTCTCATATGGATTGGTGATAAGCAGTGACACACAGTAGCATTCAATATTATGCATCATGTTTGTAATTATATTTGGCTGTAGGTTTAAATTTGGGGAATAAAGGATAAAAAGCACTGGGATAAGGTTTCTTGTACTGGCAAAGACACTTGACTTTTTTATCCCATAAAGAACATTGGTCTTGTGCTTCCAAAATTGTTATAATTTAAGAATGGAAAATATCTGTTAAATCCTCTGTTGTCCTCTGTTAACCAACCCCCCCCCCCCCAAGCAGGAAACAATAGCGTGCTGGTAGAAGCATTAATCCCAAATTTGGAAAAAGCTTCACAGGCCAGATGGTTTCCTGTTGCTAATTCCTCTTCAGCTAAACAAAAGTGATTAGTTCAGGGACAAATAAATATGTCCATAGCCTGAATGTTGCTTGAATGGGAAGCATACGATGTGGGTGCTCATCTGACATGTTTCAGAGTATTTTCTAATGACTTTAGAGCCAGACCTGAGCCAACCTCCCTAGGATTTCTATACGGGAACTCTGCAGGAGTGGGAACTCTGAAAATGTGTTCCTAGAACTATTGAATGCACGCAAGGCTTCCCATGATCCCCTTGCTTATCAGATGAGACCCCTTAGAATAGAAGGCGGAATAAGGACCCTCTCATCTCAGTTTATCTTCTCCCTACTTATTAACTTAATCTGTATGCTTCTACCTGGGTGCACCTACATGTGTGACATTTCATGCAATATATATGAATTCATGCAATATATTTGAATATATATTGCAGATTTTGGATGTATTGTGATCTAATTTCCCTGTCGCAAACCCTACTAGGAGTAGGGTTTGGTTTAGTAAATAATGCATGTCCAGAATCTGCAGGAACAAAACCAGCCTTAGTGTTCATCAAAAGCAGTTACTAGGTTTGCTGGCAGGTTCTCAAAATTAGTGTTGCAATCTTCAAAATTAAACTAGTTGGAGAAAGAGCTTTATCTTATCAGATATGCACCAATTATAGATCATTCTTTAAAAACCACATTAGTTCAAAATGCAATCACTATCCACTGCATTAAAATAAGTCACTTTTATCCAACCAAATTAGATGTGTGAGCAGGCATCTACAATTTATATGTGGCTAGAGGCAAACATTTTTTTTTAATGGGAAATGGAATTTTTTTAAAATGGAATGGAATATATAGATTGGTGTGAGGAGAAACTCTTCTTCTCCACACTGAGCACTTCCTTTTCCAGCCTAATTAACTTTTGCTATCAAAACTAGACTGGGAGAAAATTGCTTGAAGCCAAAGTAAGCATCTCTTCACTTTTGTGCCATATTTGAAACCTGTGATTAGATATAGGAGGAGAGCCTATATATCTCTCCTCCTATAGGAAGAGAGTATAATACTCAGTGGAGGAAACGGGAACATTTATTTTCCAGGCTACTAGCTTTTCTTGCAAGGGATTTTCTTTGAAAAGTAGCAGAATCAGTGTTGCCTACCTTTGATGTGACGACACTGGACTAATTAGTAATTTCTCATAAATTAAACAGGAATTATGGTGAGGTTTAAAGGCCCTCTAAGGACTACTTATGAAATATTTAAATGCTAATGAAGGGATGATTCCACTTGCTTCAAACAACTTTCTCCAGGACTGGTTTTTAGAAACTACAATTCTGGAGGTATAGCTACACACACATATTTGTAATCAATTATTTAAATAGTTTAGACTAATAATAGGAAGAAATGTGTGTAAAAGCATTTCAGTAATACATACCACTGGGGACAGGGAAATTATTCCTAGTTAATGTAGATATATAATTTTAGGAAAGGACTTCAGTTGCAGAATGGAACATTTTTATTGTCTTTAGAAGGAAGGCAGGAGTAGTTGTAAGTCTACTATATAGTTTATCTCCTTTGGAGGTAAAATTAGAAAATTAAAAACTAGAATGCTTCCAAATTCATTATGGCCACTATCTTTTTTTTATATATATATATATTTTGTCACAATCAGTCATTTTACAACCGTTTGAAGTTATGACGGCCACAGAAAGCACCGGTGACTCTCTTATATCATCTCCCCACTGCAGTCATATGACTGCATATCAGCTTTATGACCCATTACAGCATTCCATGGTCACATGATTTCAATTTGCTATGGGTTTTGCTGGTTTCTGGCAAAAAATGGCCATTCAAATATATGGGTTCGCTCAATGACTGTACTGTTTGATTATTGACCACTGCATTTGACAACAACTGCCACATTCGCTTAATGGCCACTGAGAAAAAGGCCAGAAAATTACTTCCATTCATGCTTCAACTGATGACCATAACAATTTGCAACTCGATTTCCAGTCCCAATTACTCTTGTAATCAAGAACTATACCTTTACAATTGCAAGTTCATTTCCATTTAGAAATTTCAGTGCAGGTTATGTGTCATTTAGGCCAATACTAAAAACAGAAAACTAAAATCACGATGGAATAATAACTAAGGAAAAGTCAGATTGAAGTAACCATTTGAGCTTCATCGTTGTCACCCTACCCTACCCTACTGCATAAGGATGCTGTTAAAACCTGGGGAAGCCCCCATGTGTAACATCTTTAGATCTAAAAACCAAGTATTCCCCTAGGCATAATTTCTGTAAGTTTTCTTTTGTGTGATCCATTATCTTTGCTATTCAAAGACTATGTACAATTCGGTTCAAAAATGGTTGTCCTATATCAAAGGCAGGATATAATTGCACAATAAATATTGTGAGTATGCTTTTTAATAATTCGTTTCCAAAGGCTTCTCAAACACACGTTTACAGGTAAGAAGTAAGTTAGAATTGGATGGTGGTATGTCCCCATATTGAGAATGTGCAGAGTGTGGATACAGAATGCTACATTCTCTGGAAAACCTCTTTGCAACTCATCTGTTGTCGTCTTGTACTGAGTATAGCATTCTCTGTGTGTTTTGTCTTCCAAGTATTCCCAGGAAGTTTTGTGTTCTTGTGGGGTGCTTAATTGTAGGGATCCAAGTTTCATCTTTTGGATAACAAGGTGTTATCTAAAAGTCCAAGCTTCCAGGGTGTTATCCCAAAGTCCGTGCAAAATGTATCTTTGCTCTTTTTTGGTGGGGGACTGTTTTGTAGATTAATATATATCAGTCTGCTAAGTATGCGAAGGTTGAGGAGGAATTAAATTATGCAGCTTCTGGGTGTGGAGGCAAAGAACTGCAGACCATTTATGAGACCAGAATATGGGTGAATTTCAAGACCTCCTGTGCTCTCATTAGCAAGCTCCTTGGGGCTTTCCTTCTACTATATCAACTCTTTACACAGACAGGAGCTGAAAGGATAACTTCCACTAATTCTCCTTTCAATGTCTACACTCTATATGATAAATACAGACTTCCTATTCCCATAATATCTTTGTTAGATTTCCAGTTACCTTAACATAGATTTGACCACATAATCTGTTCCTGACCTCCCTCCAAATGCTTGTAGTTTAATTGATCTTAATTGATTAATATTTTTAGGAAAAATAATGATAATCCTGGAGTAGAATCAGAGGATCTAGACCAGGGGTGTCAAACTCATGTCATCACAGCAGCGTCACATGACTTATTGGGACTTTCCCCCCTTGGCTAAACCGGGTGTGGCCAGCGCGTGACCCAGGAGTTTGACAGCCCTGCTCTAGAGCAATGCTAATAGCTTAATTTTTGACAGGGCCAGAGGGAAACTGCCTGGCAGGAGTAAGTACACCTTGACTTTGATTCCTTTGGCAGAAAAGGGCCAACTTTGGGCTTCTATGAAACCAGCTTTAGATTTTATGTCACTATTCAGAAGGCCTATTCTCCCACTGTAATTACATCAACTGCAATAAAGAACATTACATTTCTCAATGTTCTTGCTATTGTGAGGTATTTGTAAGCTAGCCTATATCCAGGTGGGATTGGTTTTCAGTGGCCACTCTCTCTTTTTTTTTTTTTTGAATTTTTATTGAATTAAGAATATATTACAATTCAAACTATACGGTTCGGCAACGTGTAGTCATATTGTATATTTACAAGTGCGGTTCAGTGGCCACTCTCTTGTCACAATTACACAATGACATCATGTCTAATGGAGGTAAAAACTAAGGCAAAAATCTGAAAGCTTCAGAGAGGGATTCCTTTTCATCCTTTCTCATATTTTCTATTTTTAGTATGATTAACTGTATGAGGTAGTTTTCATTTCTATATGATAACCATATTAGAGCTGGAATAGGTAAACTAAGGACTTCTCTTTTTTTGCCAAAAATGTCACTGAATTTGCCGGAACCAGCCTCACGTAGATAACTTTGATATTTTCCTTATGCTGCAAATAAAACTACAGTATAGGAATTCCAGACCCAAATGGATTAGGGTTTAATTACACAAGCTTAAACATAAATTGGTTTCCTTTTGGATGAATGCAACAGCGCCTTTTTATTACATCTTGCCTTAATTTCTCAGAGCTCTTACCTGCTTCCCTGAATTTTAACCCATGGTATGGAAACATACATGAACCAGCATGCCTTCTTCACTTGTGAAATATTTTTGTGCAACAGAGTTATGTAAAAGACGAGGAATATCCATTTCTCCCCTTTGAATTCTTGCACTTACATGTTTTAAAAATGTGCCTCATTGAAAAAAGAAAAACAATTAAAAGCAGTTAAGACTTGGTTGTTCCATCAAGCACAGGGGAAGGGCATATTGTGAGTCAAGTTGGATCCTGGCAGGCACATGAGTTTGTATAGTTTTTGTATAGTATACAAAATTGTATAGAACAATTTTATTCATATTATGAGTGGATTTGCTTACTATTTTTGAAAGCGTTGCCTTTTATTTTAAATTGATCTTGGTAATTAGCTGCACAGGGCCTTTGGAAATGATAGTATATAAATGAATAAAATTTAATTTTAATGTTGCTTGCTTTTAAATGAATCGCAGGACAGAAATAAGTTATCTAACAAAATTTCAGATTGAGGCCTTAGATTCCATATTTAGTGAATGGGAAACCAAATCCAGCTAAGGTATTCTGTACATATTTTTCTCATTAGTATCATAATCTGTCTGGTCTTGAGTTTTAAACATTTGTAAGACTACAAAATAAATGTGAATCTTGTACTTTGTATTAAATACATGTGGTACTTAATTTTTTAAACGTACCTTTTTATTATGCCTCAATCGGCTGCTAGCTTGTTTAAGGCCAAATATATGCTGTGTTGGCCCAGCATTTAAGACTTATTTTTCACTGTATGAAGAAGACCAAATAATGTATAGAGTAATATTCTACAGCCACAAAGACCCTTGGATGTCATTAGGCTCTTAGGTTGTCTTTATGTTCTTAAAAAGGTGTTGGGATAGAACTCACAACTCCAAATTTTGGCTGTCATTTCAGTGAACAACCTCCATGAAACAAACCCCAAGTTTGAGGGTGTTTTGAAGTTTGGAACATCTTCCCTGGGAATTAGTACCAAAACTCTTGGTCTTTTAAGCACCTGGATTAGTGCTTTTATTTTTAAAAACATAAAGCATGTTCCTTAGATGACAAAGTCTCCTAATTTTTGTAAGGGCAGTGTAGATATTATTATTCAAAATATGCTGTTCCTGATTAAATGGATACATCATTAGGTGGATGTGAATGGTTTTCAAAGGGCATTAACTGTTAACTAATTTATACTATCCAGACCCTAAAAATCCTCTTCCAACCACAGTATATGATTTCTGTAGTATAAACTACAAGATCTAGTTTACTTGTGTGCAAATGTTCTGTGTTGAGTGAGTTGATAAATCAAACAGCTGTAACACAAAATTTGTTTTGAAAGGTATATTTGAAAATTGTAATTGGCATGGATAGGTCTTATTGCTGTCAAGCTCTCTGGGTGTCCCTCTGTTATACATTCATGTTCTGGTTTTATATGTATTCTGTCTTTGCCTTTGCAAGCTAGTTATATGAAAAACAAAGTAACTTGCTCTTCTCCAAATGAAACATGTAAACTTCATCTGATAAGTGGTCTCTTTTGAATTCTCCCTTTTTTACAACTGCCAATCTGACCTCTGCCCAGATTAGCAGCAATCATGTTTTTCCTAATGTTATCCAATATTGGATTTCAGTGGCTAGTTGGATTTTTCATTGTACTAAGTACCCAGATTTAATTTTTACTTTTTCTATTCTACATTTTGTAGGTAAGGGATGAGCCACTTCACATGCTATATTTCTTATAAGAATACCTTATTTGCCTATTGTCAGGTCTATGTGCAGGAGGAAATGAAAATCACTGCACGTAACAATGACAACTTGGCATTAAAATGTTAAAAAAAGCTTTTTTGTGACTTTCTAGAATAAAATTTGTCATATGAAGCACTGATTCAAGGGATAATTCTTCTGCATGTCAATTTAAGAGTTGGTTTTTATTGCTTCTTTGCTAATAGCTTTGGCTACTGAAAGAGGCAGAGGTAGTAAATAATGAAAGCAAATATATGAACGTCTCAAGAGCTCTGAAGATTTGTCTTTTGTCCAGTTCCTTTGAAAAAAAATATGATTGTGGTGTAAGGTTTGGATGTTGGTAAAGCTATTGTTCATGCAGATTTTATTGTTTTGAGCAAATAAGAGCCTAAAATAAATCTAGTTTGGTTTTTGATATTGACTTGCTTTAAGGGAAAGAGAAATAATGTTAAAATGTGGTTCACTTGCTTTTCTCAATTCTATTTGCAGCTGCCAAGAGCTTACTGAACAAAAAGTCAGATGGAGTAAAGGTAGGTCTTGAAATACGGAGCCTCCCTTTCTTTTCCAGTCCCTTTCATAGAAATCTGCATCCTTGGCCAGCCTAAATGATTCATATGCCAGATAATGGCTATGCACAGCTCCTGCTAAGATCATCTCTGCAACTTGACCATGTGAGTGCGGCAATGAAATTGAAGCCATTAAGGCTCAAGACTTAATATAGGATTTTCTTCCAATTGTTTCAGCAAGCGCAACAACTACTGTAATATTGAGCTATGGAGCAAAGGACTATCTCTGGAAAATTCTTAGACCCACAATTCCATATTGTGTTATCCAAAACATTTTAGTGAATTTGCAGGGTATGGTTTAAGTATCTGGAAGTGCTTATTACCTCTTTAAATAAATATATAATTATTTGCATGCCACAGATGCCCTGCACTTCTGTGTGGAAATAAAATGAGAGCAAGAGATCTATAACATTGGATTAATAAAGCAATGTGCATTAATGCATCTCAGAGCTGTTTTACCAAAGATCTCACTCTTGATTATTTTTTCTGTTTCCTTTTCCAATGGGTATTTGTCTACCTTTTAGAAAATTATGTTTACCATATTACCTTTATTTTTTGGAATAATTAGTTTCTTATTTTATATATGAGTTTCATATCCATGAAAACTGCTTTCAGATCAAATTATATTCTTTGATAATATTTTGGTCCTTTTATGTTTGTGGAAACTAACAGTCCTCAAGCAAGGAAACAAAATATAGCTCTGATTCTTGCATCTTATCCACTATTCTGTGAATATTACATCTTCTGTGAACTATTTTGTTTAGCTGTACAGTATATATTATGTATATATATATATATATATATATATATATATATATATATATATATTATATATATATATATATATAAAGTTGCTTTTATTTAAAAATGGGAATTGCACATCATTGTATTAACATTATTTGCCAGTCATAGTAATAGAAACTAGCAGCTCCCCATTAAAATCCATTGCTGCATTTATCTATATTGCTATATTCTGTTAAAGACCACTAAAACATTTGCCTACTTTCCATTCCACATATTCACTGGATGGACAGAGAGAATTAAACCATGCAAGCTGAGCTCCCATGTCAGTGATTCTCTGATTTTCCTGTCGTCCCCCCCTTCCCCCCACCAATATATACATAGTGTGAACTAATACAACTAAGCAATATACTTAATATGTTTTTAATAATAATAATCAGATGACCAGGCTTCACTATTGCATGAAGGAGGCCTCTGTACAGAATACAAGGACTCCTTTAACACTAAAAGGGACGATCCTGTTCCTCTCTCATGTGTTCAGTGGAACATTAGAGAATGGGTATTAGCACTTCTACTTACTGCTTTATTGTTGTTTTTCCAATTTCCCACTCATCATAAATATTTCTTTAGGCATTAAATATGAATCACACTATGATTCTTCGTTAATTGTTTCAGCAAAAAAATGATGCACCTGATATTCTGCCTGTAATAATTTTGCTGTTGGGAGGGAGGAAGAATGTCTCTACTGTTCTCAAAACTCCTAAATTAACAAGATAGATTGCCTCTAAACACTTCCCTATTGACTGCCCTCACTTAAGAAGTTGTGGGGATTTGTTTCCATTTCGTTGATTGTCAGATTCTCTTTGGAGGTCTTTCAGAACTGGATCAGAGAGAATATGCTTAAAGGAGGGTGAGCTGTAGGTCAGTGGAAAAAATAACTAAGAGAGAATTTATACTCGGTAGAGATTCTCAATCATCCAGGTCAAGAGCGTTCCAAAGGTGCTTTCCAAAACGTTTGTAAACATTTCACTTTTCATTTGCCTTTTGAAAAGCACCTGTGGGACCTCAGTGACAAAGTGAGTGTAGCCTTTTCTTCTCCACGTGGGGAACTCAAAATGTTCCTCCTGGTCCAATTCACAGCCCATTTATGTATGCAAAACAGAATTTTTCTTTTTTCCCCCTTTCTGCTTTGCTTTCCCAAAAGTCTTCATTTTTAAAAGCAATGGCCTCAAGCGCCTTGTCAGAATATTCAGGCAACAATGATGCACAATTGATGGGCTCCAATGGTTCATGTCCATCTTGATGGTCCTTCACTTTCAAGGATTTTGCCCTCCCTAGATCCTCATCAACTAATAAGAAATATAGGCTGAAGTATTTCTACCATTGCGTGTTGTTTTCTTCCATATTACTCAGTTACTCTGATATTTCTGAGCTAAGCTCATCTTAATATGTTCAAGCTAAGGGGAATGTTGTTACGTGCTCTGACCAGTTTCAAACCTCAAAACATTTGGTCCTAAAATTAATCAAAGGGATAGGCTCTCCTACAGCTCCTGGCTAATGATAACACAGACATTATGTGGTGGTTGAATTCCAACTCTAAATATTTGTTTTCCATATTGTCCTGAACCCCAGTCATTTCAGTGGAGTCTGTTAGTTTGCCTGTAATCTTACAGTAAAATACAAATAATCATTTAAGCCAGCTGAAGATAAGTGGAATAACTGTTCTTTATCTGTAACCTTTTGTAGTTTAAGTCCAGATTTTATAATTAGTCATTTCTTAAATGCCCTTTGTGACTTGGGCTTGTCTAAGACACTGTGTTTCCCCAGTATTTTTGCCCATTTGACCTGGACCAGCAGCTCCACCTCCATTGTGAGATTTAATGGAAAAGGGAGTTCTCTGGTGTTGGGAGAACTAACTTCCTTTGGAACAAGCTGACCCCTGAGGCAATTGCGGCTCTCCCTCTCATGGCTTGCAAAATGTTACTGAAGGCCTCTGAGAATTGATCACTACAAAATTCCCAACACCCCAAATCATGTATTATTAATGTCCGTTTTATTACAAAAGGTATTATTTGATTGTATTATTTTTTATTAACCTAATTTTCTTTAAATTTATGTAGCAGTCCATCTCATGTTCATGACTGCAGCTGACCATTAAAACAGAATAAAAACCAAGCAATAACTATAAACATATTTTATATTCTAGGAGATTGATAATAATCTCCTAGAATTAGTAGGTAGTAGGTAGTAATTAGGTAGTAATTTAGTGCGGGAGCACTTATATGAGGTTCCGATGGCATCATAAGGGGATGCACCTACCTCTGATAAAAAGGGAGAATAAAAAATAGGGACTTATTACTCCTTGTATCTTTTAGATTTTCCAAGCTTACATAAAATATGCCTTCCAGCTTTTTGTCCTGTAGCTCTATTTGCTACAGGACAAAAGTAAAAAAAAAAAAAAAAAGTACTTTAGCCAAATTCCAATTCAGATCAGAAAAAAATCCTTTTATTCTTTCTTTTGCAGCAAATACATATTTCTCATCATTTCTTCTTGAAATTTAGTTCACGGATTGTGATGCTTAATGTAGGCAATGGTGTGTGCTGCTCAGAGCTCTTGAAAAAAAGATCTAATTCTAACGCAGTACATTCTCAAGAGAAAATACTGCAAGTGAAGTAGGACAAACTTAAGTCTTGCTTTGTTTACCCAAAAGCACTTAAAGTTTATGCATTGTATTTGTAATACTTTCTGATAAACTTCAGATTGAAACTCCAGTAAAATAACTTTGTATTCCCAAGGCTGTCTAAGCTTTTGGCATGTAAGAGCCATACTGCATGCCTTCCAGTAATGAAAGAAGCACATTTATCTTGTACTCAAAGCAACTCTAAATGTGGTTGCAAATCTTTGCAAAAAATGAAAAAGCTGCTTGGAAGCTTCAAAATATTATGCATATAATCAACATGGAATAAAAACACTGAAGATACCATGGTACCAAAGGCAAAGTGTCAGCAAAAAGAAGTTACAGTTATCTAGAAATACAATGGTTAATGTATGTGGGAGATTTAAAATGTCTTCATGTACAGTAGCTCTTAAAAAATGATAACATAACGGGAGAACATTATTCAAATAAGAATTACCACTGCCAAGATTTTGTCTCTAGGGGTCTGTGGGTGAGTATGTTTCTTCTACTTTGCTCTAGAAGGCTTAATATGGAGCAGCAGGGAAAGGAAGTTATTTCAGATTATGTGGTAGAAGTGCAAATGGGGTGCAAATGGGTATATAACAGGATTTCTTCTAAGCAAAATTGAGAAGATGTTGCAGATTAGTATTAGTAGATTCTGAAAAAGGAAGAGAAAAGTGGCATGATTTGGGCGGATAGACTAACCATAACCTGGAGCTTGAATAAGTATGGCGCAGGACAGATTTAGGGAAGGAAACATCCTCCTCCTCATTATTGCATCATTGTAGAATAATTTCTGTCTCTACACAGTTCTTAAGGAATGGTCTTTCTTTTTTCTCTTGGTATTTCTCCTATTTTTCTCCCTGATTTCTCACGCAGGGCAAGAAAAGGAGAAACAGAGAAGCTCATAAAATCTAGCTTTATCAAATGAGATCTCTATTCCGTGTACTTTTCATTCATACCCAGTGCCTCCTTGTTGGGCATATATGCCATCAGTCCTGTCTGGCCCCTGTTTGCAATTATCTTTCATAAGTATTTGTCTTTCTATAGAAGTATAACAGATAATAGAGTCATAGAATCATAGGGTGGGAAGGGACCTTGGAAGTCTTCTAGTCTAACTCTCTACCCAGACAAATGGTTGTTCAATCTTTTCTTGAAGATTTCCTGCAATGGAGCACCCACAACTCTGAGAGGCAAGCTGTTTCATTGTAATTGTTCTCACTATCAGGAAGTTTCTCCTTAGTTCCAGGTTGGATCTTCCTCTGACATCTTCCTCTGGTATAAAAATATAATCTATAAAAATAAATCAATAAATCATGTCACCCCTAATCCTTCTCTTCATTAGGCTAGACCACGGGTGTCAAACTCGGCGCGTGACATTGCTATCACATGATGTATCACAATGTTTTTTCACAGAGCTGGAGTGGGTGTGGTCTACGCGTGATGCATCCGGCCCACAGGCCACCAATTTGATACCCCTGTGCTAGACATACCTAGTTCTCTCAATTGTTCATTATATGGTTGAGCCTCTAGATTCCTTATCATCTTATCACTTATGAAGATGTTGAACATCACTGGGCCCAAGATAGAACCTTGAGGAACCCCTTTGCATTCTTCACTTCATGTAAATGTAGTTCCATTAAGGATTACATGCTGAGTGCAGTTGGTCAGTCAGTTGCGAATCCAACTGATGATAGTACTATCTATTCCACATTGTTCTATCTTACCAATAAGTAGGCCGTGGCCTACTTCGTCAAATGCCTTATTGAAATCTAAATAGATTATATCTATGGCATTTCCCTGATCCACTAATTTAGTTACTTTATCAAAGAAGGGCATAAGATTTGTCTGGCATGACCTGTTTTTAACAAACTCGTGCTGGTTTCTAGTGATTGTTTTGTTCATTTCTAGGAGCTTACAAATTTGCAGCTTGATCATCTTTTCTAGGATTTTCACAGGTATTGATGGTAAGATGGATCCCTTTTTCCTCTATCTTGAAGATTGGAATCATGTAGCTCTTTTCCAGTCCTACACTTCCCCCTTGCCCTTGCTTCAGGAGCTCTGAAAGATTTTGTTCAGTGGTCCTGAGATCACATCTTCCAGCTCTTTCAGTACCCTGGGTTGTAAACTATCTGATTTTGGTGTTTTGAATTTGTCAAAGTGGCTAGGTGGTTGGTTTGTTTTTAACCTATTTTGATCTGCATGCCTGTTCTGTGTCTCATTGTGCTGCTTTTGATAGGTTGGGCTATTTTTTTCTTTTTGCGTAAAGACAGGTGCAAAGGAGGAATTAAGCAGGTCTACTTTCTCCCTCCTGCCCATCACCTTCTTGCTAGCTTCTTCCATTAGTATACATCATTTCCTTAATTTTTTCTTGTTCTTTACATATTGAAATAAACTTTGTTATTTTCAGCATGTGTTGTAAATCTTAGTTCATTCTGAGCCTTAGCCTTCCTGGCTGCACTTCTGCAAACTCAGGCTATTTGCTGGTATTCTGTTTTAGTTACATTTCTGTTTCCATTTTTTATACTTATCCTTCTTTCCCCTCAGTTTGTCAGAGAGTTCTTTGTGCAATCATGCTGGTCTCATTTGGTGTCTCTTATTTTTCTTTTTCTGTGGTATTGTTTTTGTTTGGGCCTTTAGTATTTTTTTTCCCAGAGTTTCCCATGCATCCTGATCTGTTTTTCCTTCTAGGATTTCCATCCATGGAATCCTTCCTAATCTTCGTCTTTGTTTGTTGAAGTCAGCTCTCTTAAAAGTCTAAAACATTAGTCTGACTTCATTCAGTTGCCAGTGCTTGCATTATAGTGAATTCTAATATGACATGCTCACTTTCCTCCAAAGTTCCTATAACATCTACTCTTTCAGGCATTTCATCTCTGTTAGTTAGGATTAAGTCCAGTATAGCTGACCCTCTAGCTCCCACCTCCACCTACAGGGTGACAAAGTTGTCAACTAGGCACATCAGAAACTTGTTCAATCTCCTACTCGCTGCAGGGTTTTACTACAGTGGTGTGTTTCCTGCACACCTCAGCTAACTAATTAATAAAATTAGTTAGAATTAGTAATAGCTATTTTATTACTGAAGAGTAGTGGCTAAATGTAAAATGCTGAATGGATCTTTTTCACATGGTCTCACCCTTTCTAGATCTGTGTATAGGTTTGTGTTTATCTTGGAATTATAAAACAAACTCATAATTGACACTACAGACACCTTCTCAGTCATTGCAATAATCAAGCCTACCTCATTTGAGTGAGACGATACATGATTGCTATATACCTGTCAGGGACTAGTCACTTGAAAGTAGAAGATTCAAAATTCCGTAGGTCAAATATTAGTGTTCATGAATCAGTACAATAAAAACATTTTTATAGGTAGATGTTGAATAAAATACTTTTTGATGGACATTGTATCATCTTAATAATTTGTCAGTAAATAACTCTCCCGACAATTGGACACAATTTGAAAAACAATGTGGTTTCAGCCTCTCCTGTGTCACACTGACTATATTGTCTGCCATTTTGCTACGCTTGGAATTTTTTATATCCAGGTTTCTAGTACTATTATATAACTGCTGGCTTTCATGAGCTCATATTTGTGGCATTCAGTTCCTTTCTTAAAGGAACATGATTGGCAGCAGGGCTCTGCTGATGCATAAGTGCCAACATTTTCTTTGCTTCTCTTCTCATCTCTTCTTTCCTTCTCTTTCCTCCTTTCAATGGTGTGCCCAGAAAAGGAAGTCAAGCTCCAGCGTACATTTGATGGTGAGCTCCTCCCATAAACTGCCTGTAACCCTGTTTAACCACCATTCTCATGCCATGCACGTCCAGCTTGTGCTCATCACCTCACATAGCATGTCTGGGCAAGGGGAGGCGGTTGGTTGAATGGAGAGACATCTTGCACTTCAAAAAGCTCATGTTCCCACAAAGAGTGGGTACCGAGTAAGAAACAGTCTCCCACATGCTATTACTCTGCCTGCTCTTTGGTGTCAAGGCTGTTTTGTTGCAGAAATGCTGTAATGGGCAGTGCTCGTTGAAACATCCTTATTGGTAAATTACCCTGCTCCAGTTTGAACAGTCTTTTCTCGTATGTGGGTGTAGCATTATTGGAAGTTCGCAGGTACCATCCACTACTCTTCCAAGAATTTTAAACAAACATCTTGTGGAATTCAACCATTTTCATATCTCTCTTCTTCTTCTTTCCCATCAAATTTCAAAATTATAAGGTTGGCATTAATACCAACATTAGTTGGCATTAATCAAAGTTCATCATTCTTCCCATTCATTTTTTCCTTCATGTGAATGTGTGTTTTCCCTGGGATGTGTTGGATATGTAATACAATCAGATGTGAAGGGACAAATCCTTTATTCTATGTCATTTGTGATGCTGAAGCCTCTTTGAGGCTCAATTTGGATGAAATCAACATTGTTGCTTTGTGTTAGCTGAGTATTTTGAATCCTTGCAAGATAGCAGGTGTTTTAAAACAAGCCACATCCAACAGTGGACTATTTCAAGAGAAAGTCATTCTCAGTCTGTATTTATCATCCAGCTTTACTTAATGATGGCAAAGCAAAATACCTTTTATCGATGAAGATTTTTTGGTGATCTTATGTGATTATTTTGATCTCCCTTTTTTTTCTTATGCACCTTTTTGATATATCAGAAATGTCAGGTATGTCTGATATGACACAATACCTGATGTTGAAGCCTAAATGACATGTTGGGTTAGCACTTAACTAAACACTCTCCTAGCAGAAAGGCAAGACAGGGTATTATAATTCCCAGTTGGTCTTTACTTTAGAGATGCAGCCCTTGAGAATGATTCTCAGTCCCTGAAATCCTGGATGTCTTTACTCTAAGAAGTGCTAATAATTTTTCTCACTCTCAACATCAGAATAGGAAAAAAATCTGGTTAAAGGTGAATTCAAGAATGAAAACACACATCACTTTAAAGGAACTATCATAAAGTTCCTTTAAAGGAAGAATCATAAAGTTCAAAATGAGAGCTGGGGCATTAAGAATGCCAACTGTCTCATTAAGAAAGAGTCTGGTAGCCGATTTTCAAGCTAACAATTTTTATAAGCCTTAAGTAAAATTATTAATTTCAGAAATGCCACGGAAGTTTGAATTTTGGTTGTATCCCCTTTCCTATTATTGTATTGTGAGTCCCATCTTAACTGAACTATTTAATAGTATACTACACTTGCTGGCTTTTGTCAGTTTGTAATGTCTAGGTGTGGTCATGAGTAATGCAGCAACTAAGCGATGACTGTATTCAAGAAACATGGCCAAAAAAATGAAGCCACAGTAGTCCTTCCAGAGTCCAGTGCAGCCTGTAACATCTAAACAAATCCAACTAGCAAAGGGAGAAGCTGGTTGCTGCTTTTATTTCAAGTTTTATATGGCTGAATGAGCTCTTTGAGCATGCACTCTTACCTTTGATCAAGGTTATTGGCAAAAAACTTGAAATCTTGTTTTTCATCCTTCACCTCTTAGGGGTCATTTTCCAAGGGAATACAGCAGCTTTGGTTTTAGAGTTTGTTCTACAGCCACATCACCAGCAGAATATCTAGGTTGTTCTCCAAACCTAGAATCAGTGGCTCCAAAATGTGCATCAAAGTTATGATATGGTGGCCCTATCTGATAGTTGGCAAAGAGATGATTTGCTATGTCCTTCTCACTCCTTGGCCCAACTCTTGTCTATATATGTAATTTATTCATAAAACAATTCCAGAACTGATTTTGGGTTTCTTTTGGAACATCCTTTAAAAAAAAAGTTTACTAACCATATTTGTAACTTGTAGCTAATAAACAGGTGGATGGCTTCCCAGCAACTTCAGGGAATGAGTCTTTTTATTTTTTATTTTTGTTTATCTAATTTATATAGCCCCCCCCTCCCCATCTCATAAGCCTGTGACTAAGCCGCATACAACAAAACTAAAAATTTAAGCAGATAATTTTCTACATCTGGCAGGGGATTCTAACTGAACAACCTGTGACGGTGATGGTGAACCATTTAGAGACCAAATGCCCAAACTGCAACCCAAAACCCACTTATTTATTGCAAAGTGCCAACACAGCAATTTAACCTGAATAATGAGGTTTTACTACCTAAAATAATGATAAACAACGCAGAGTTCAGCTAATTGTTCTAAGAAAAATGTGATAAATGCACTTTTATGCCCCTTTATTTTTTTTCTGCTTTTGAAATATTACGTTTAGCAATAATAAAAAAGAAAAACTTTTGTAATTTCTCTTTCCCTCCCTCTCTCTCTTTCCCCCCTCTGCCTTTCTCTCTCTTTTCTTTTACCCCCTCTCACTTTCCCTCCCCCTCTCTTTTTTCTTTCCCTCCCTCTCTCTCTCTACCTTTATCTCTCTCTTTCCATCCTCCCTCCCTCTCTCTATTTCTCTCTCTCTCTTTCCCTCCCTCTCTTTATCTCTCTGTCTCATCTATCTATCTATCTATCTATCTATCTATCTATCTATCTATCTATCTATCTATCCATCCATCCATCCATCCATGCTCTCCTGTCCAGCTTCACGTGTCATGTGAATCCAATCACTTCGGCTGTGGAGGGGGAGTGGAGGCTGACAGACAAAGCCAAGCATTAGAGCTCCACACAAAATAAGGCAATTCCAACCTGGATCCTGTTGGGGAGACACCCCTCCCCCTTCCCTCTCCCTCTCTCTCCCCGGGCAGCCTGAGAGCAGCTCCCTCCTCGGAGGCAACCAGCAAGCAAACAAACATGGTGCTCTGGCTGGGAGATGGCGGTATAGAGCCCCACCTCTGGCCAGCCAGAGCGGAGCAAGCAGGGCGTGCACATTCCCCAGTGCCACTGCGGTGCTGGCACTGGCCGGGAGGGATGCTCAAGCTGAATGTTTGGAGCTACGCTTGACAGAGTTTGCAAGCAGGCTCGACGGGGCCACTTAGCCGGTTTGGTTAGCTTCAGCGCGGGTGGGAACACAGAAGGCAAAGGAAATCCATGCCTCTCAGCGTTCAGCCCTCAAATACTCCTTTGGGGCGACTTTCCCTGCTTTTGAAACATTATGTTTAGCAGCAATAAAAAAGAAAAACTTTTGTAATATCATTTCTCTTTCCCTCCCTCCCTCTCTCTTTCTCTCCCTCCCTCTCTCTCTCTCTGCCTCCCTCTGTTTCTTCCACCCCCCTGTGGGAGGGCAAGGAACCCCTGAACTGATGCTGGGTGGTGGGAATCTGATGTCCGTAGGCCGAGGAACCCAGGAGCAGCGTGCCGTAGCTCAGCGGGGAGGCAGGGCATCCCAACATAGGCAGCTCTGCAGGAAAAGCAACTGCTTTTTTTTGCTGAGCTGATCGCATTGTGGCTCTGCATCGTAATGGGCTTCAGGAGGAGGAGGGGACCCTGTCTCCCCCATTGTTGTGACCTAGGTCCAAGTAGTTAGTATTAAATACAAACAGTTTGAAAACAGACTTTATTAGAACAGCTGAGAATTAACTCATTCTCAGCATAGTCCAAACTAAATTAAAGCAAATTCTTCAAAACACCATTCCACAGTTTATCACCTGAGCTTGAGATTATTAGGCAAACTGCCAAAGGTTTTTCTTGGCAAAAGTTCAGAAGCAGAAGACGCCGACAAGAAATGAATACAGTGAAACAACCAATTCTTTCAACGTTGTTTTCCGGCAAAGAGGCCAAGAGCCATTGCTGGTCTTTTAAGCCTTATGAGAGGGGACAATCATCTCTTGGCCCTACTCCCGAGTTGTCCTCTCTGCTTTAGCTGCTCCTGCTTTCTGGCAGCTCTTCTCATACGTGCACTAGGAACAGGCTCCTCCTGTTCCTCTGCCTCTCTACTGTCAGCCTCTGGAGGCTCCAAAGTCCGCACCTCACTCCCCGATGGCCCTGGCCCCATCTCTGCCTCAGACGCAGAGTCCTCATCCGGGCCTTCCCCAGCCTCCACAACTGGCCCCTGTTCTTCCTCAGCCTCATCGTTGTCCGACTCCGCTGCCAACTCTGCAGGCTGCGGTCGGACCACAACACCCATTAAGTGTATGAATGAAAAAGTTCACTCAATCAATTCCAATTTCGTGAGATCTTTTTCTTTCGTGAGAAGTTGAAATTGATTGAGTGAAACATGGTGGAGAAATGTGATGGGAGCTGGGCTGGGGCGACTGTATGCATGCCCACAGAGAGGGCTCTGTGTGCCACATCTGTTACGTGTGCCATAGGTTCACCATCATGGACCTATGACGTGGCATTTCAGGACAAGATTTGAAGGCTGTATGTGTTCATTATAGGCAAATTACTAGCCCAAGGCTGGATCAAATACAGAGCATTTGCTCTCCATCTGTGTATAGAGAAGCAGTGCTATCCTGAACTGCATTCATATGCCTTTTCTTTGTCAAGGAAGGGTACTTAATGGCTTGTTTTGCTAAATGCCTGACAGAAAATATGGGCAGCATATTTTTTGTTCCTTTTATTGGCACTAACTAAATCTGGTCATATTGTTAAAAACTCTGCATGGTAAACATACCTGACAAGGCAGAATGTTATATCCTTTCCTACCAGATCTTTCTAATATGACAGTGGAATTTAGAACAAATGACATAAGTATTGGTGATACACATAATTCTTGACAGAATTGAGAGTGCAATCTTGGTAGAAATATAGCCACCAAAAATACTTTGCATTGTGCACAGTATCTTGCATCATGCTACCTATTTTTATTATGAAATGTCTGCAAGGAAACAACCAAGCTCAGAGAGCACCAAGGACCCCACAAAAGTATC